CCTGAATAGCCAATGGAAAGGCCGCATGAACTGGGCTCGCTTTTTCCTCCACAACCAAATAGCCGCGTTATATTGCTCGTTGCGTATTTTCCGAGTCGAAGCCCTCCAATCGTACTTCTCCATCTCCAAACGGGCCGCGCGACCTATAAACTCCCTAAGCTCACGATCGTTCATAAGTGGCCTGAGCTTGCTCAGGCAGTCGTTAAGGTCACCCGGGCTGTACAGATATCCCGTTTTCCCTTGCTGCTCGTCTGGTAAAATGTCTGTTATGCCCCCAGCCCTGGCTGCGACCACCGGGAGCCCGGATGACATGGCCTCGAGGACGACTAGGCCGAGCGTCTCAGATTCCGAAGGCATGACAAAAATGTCCCCGCTGGCGTACGCCTGAGACAGCTCGTCTCCATGGAGCGTGCCCGTGAATACAGCTGGCATGTTCGAGAACATTTGTTCCAGCTCATCCCTTATGGGGCAAAGGGAAAAAAAGGGTTAGGGGTAGTTCTGGTATAAGGCAAAAAGCATGTGTTAAGACCGTCTGACACAAGAAATGATGTACGGTTTTTTACCTGTACGGGCCATCGCCGATGAAAGCTATACGAGCCTCCGGAAGTTCGTCCATGACCCTGTTTGTTTTCGGACGTTTAATAAAAACCAAACCAAACGAGAATAATTTTCATACCAGAAAATTATATAAATAAGGTACCGTTTAAGAAAATCCAAACTCTTCTCGACTCCGAGCCGTCCTACGTGAATGATCAGTGGCCTGTCGGGTTCTCCATTACTGATCTTAACAAGAAACTATTAATTAGCAATAGTTACTTAAATTGCATTTTTAGTCCTGCTGGTTTAATGTCATAACAATTTTAGTCCCAAGATTCTAACATTTCGCAATAAAATTTTGCAACAAATTCCCAGTTTTATATTTTTTTTTATTAGCAATTAAAGTCCTATAATTTAAATGTTGTCATGATTATTTTGCTACGAAAAGGCAAATAAAATTGCTATGGCGTTAAACGAGTAGCACTAAAAATTGCATTTTTTGCCTATTATAGATATCAGTGGTTATCTTGAATTTCTTGCCTTAATCTTAGTCTCATCTCACGCGAGCGAAAACGCGGATGGAAACTTTCGGAATCGACACCTTTGTTCCAGAGTCGTATCCTATTAGCTGCGAAAGTTTGCAAACAAAAAAAAAAACCAGAAATAATTACATCAAGCCCCCAAAAGTTACCACATATATTAGTTTGGAAAATGATTTTAAGAGATTTAAAGATGTTAAGAATTTAACCAGCTGTGACCCGAGCGGCTTCTAAATCCTTGGCAATAGCAGCAGATGGCACCAGTGTGAGATCGGCAGCTCTATGTAGAAATTCTGGTGAAATATTGTTCAAATTTTATTATTATTATTTCGTTTATAATTAATCTGCAGCATCCAAGAATAATAATAAAAAAAAAAAGCGGGAATTTGATAGATGCCTTTGCTGCACTTACTTATGACTAACCACATTGGTTTGACTAGCCAGCTAAATGTATATCTTGGTATATATCTGTTGAAGAAAATTTTCACTTTTTCTCCGTTAAGCTCTTCAGACAAAGTTATTCGATTATTTAAAAATAAGAATTCGAGAGCAAAAGAGCGTTTAAACATACACAGGGACATGAGTGTGATACGACATCACTATAGGCACACTTAGCAATTTGGCAATGATGAGAGCACCAAATACCTGCATGATAATGTATTGATTCCACACAAGAAAGTTCATATTTTTTTTAATGAATTAATTTTTGTAATTGAATACGAGATAGTTTACCATTATTCCCGGTGATGATGCGTGTATTATATCGGGCTTGAATCGAGCAACTGCTGATATTATTCGTGGACTCAGTGCGAGGGAAAGCGGTACCTTTTGGTACCACGGGCAAGGGAAGCTGTATAGAAAATTATGATAAGTCGCATTATTAAATCATTTTCATAACTACAGCCAAAAAAAAAAACCTTCTCGAGCCAATTAGTTGAGCTCCGTAAAATTCCTGTGGCACTCCTTCGTGTGTCGTCACAACCATAACCTGAACCCAAATTTTCGGAATCTTCAAAATTCGAAACATTCGATTCGAAAATTATAGCCACAAATATTATTGGTATTAGTGATCACATCACTTTAAACAGAAAATTAGTAAATTTATCACACACCTCATCCCCCATTTCACGCAGATATCGAATGAAATTTTGGAACCTGTTTTTGTATCCAGAGACATACCTGAATAATAATAATTAAAAAAAAAAAAAACGACAAGGACCACAGTCAGTACTTAGAAGTATGATAACTCGTGATAAAAGGACATATTAACAAGATCTATAAAATTCAATATATAATTTTTGGATTGGAATCATGCAACTGAAAAACTTCAAGAGAATTAGCATTTGAAGTTAAGGACTGTCAAGTTTGTGAGACCATTCGGATAGTTTTGCAAAACCGTGAAAATAGCACATTTTAGCAAATGGTGAAAAACCAATAGAGATCCAGCCATGGACATATTGTTTCAAATCAGACTGGCTTAAAAATAATCTAAAACGTGTCGGGGCAAAATGACCATTATGAAGATATAGCATAACATGTCTGCTATAACACGACCTATCGGCTATATATGAAGTGGATAAATGCTATATAGATGAAACAACTGGCATTCTATTGAACAGAACATCTAATAATCATCGATCACTAGATAAAACTACAAATCTCACCTCTCAAAAAAAAGAAAAAAACAACTAAATTCTGCATAAAAGATGAGAAATCTATCAAGTGTATACATGTAACAATGTCTAAGTGAGCATAATAACAACCCACAACTTTCTTTAAGCAACGAAATGACGAAAACCAACACTTCCACTCATCAAACACATAAGTAGCCAAAACAAGGTAAAACAACATTATAAGTTCCACAATGAGCAAAAAACAAAAAACATGTAAACACCACAAAACAACCTCAAACAAGTGTTGCAATCAACTCGTATGTAATAATTTGTTGCCAAAAAAAAAGACTCACGCAAAGGGAGAAGGCTCAACAAAGAGAGCAATACGTCTGGGCCTAGAATTCATCTCAGGCTCGAGCAAAGGAGGGCCATTTTCCTCGACCACATTCTCATCTTCTCCATACTCTCTAACAGTCATATTGCTGCTGCTACAGCTTGCTACACTGAAGGGTCTTTCACTGATGACTCTAACCCTCAAAGATTCGATTTTTACACAAATTTGATAAGTGGGTTTCAAGTTAGAAGGGGGAAAATGGGATTTACAGGCAAAGAGAGGAGGAGAGAGAGATGGGTTTAGGGATAGAGAAAGGGCCGACATGATGGGTTTTTCGTTTTCTTTGTGTGTGTGTTTTGGGGCTTTTCTTGATTCTTTTGAGTTTGGTGCTGTTTTGATAATTTAATTGATGCAAGCACTGGGTTATGGATATTCTTTTTCCAGAGAAGGGGATAATCGGAGGATAGAGAGATATGCTTACACAGAGGTGTGTGTTTTCCCGTCAAATGGGGAAGAAATGGTGCCATTCATTAATTTCCTCATGTTTGTGGGGTCGATTTCGTAATATACAAAATAATTCCATGTTATAATACCCGATATAATAATTTTAGTACGTGGAAATTAACAATCGGCCCCCAAAAAATACTGCCCCGATTAGTAGAATCATCTAATAAAAATGTCCGAACAGAGTACTCCCGCCGCCGATAACGCCGGCGGCGAACGAATCAAACTCAACGTCGGGGGGAGGCTCTTTGAGACAACCGTATCCACTCTTCGCTCCGGCGGGCCGGACTCCCTCCTATCCGCCCTTTCGAACCGTCCGGGTCACGACTCAGTCTTCATCGACCGCGACCCGGAGATCTTCTCCGTCCTACTCTCCCTCCTCCGGTCCAACCGCCTCCCCTCCACCGCAAAGCGCTTCTCCAACCAGGAGCTCATCGACGAGGCCCACTACTTCGGCATCGAGTCCCAGCTCAGGTCCGCGCTCGCCCCGAGTCGACTCAACGGCATAGACGCGTCCCTGCACACCACCGTCAAACCCTCGTCCGACGGCATCGTCACCGATTTCGACGCCGTCGACTCGGACGGTTCGATTTGGGTGGCCCACGGCGGTCAGATCACGGTCTACGACTGGAACCTCGGCCACGCGGCGACCGTGCGGACGCATCTGGATTTTATCACGTCCGTCAAGAGCATCCAGCCCGATA